CGCCAGCCTATAATTTCCTGGATTATCCCTATTGCACTTTTTAAACAAAGGAACAACATTGGTTATTTTCCCATCTTCTGGGACCTCGCCTGTGGCTAAAAAGGATAGAAAGATCTCCGTCAAGGCTCCAGCAACCTCCCTTGCCTCCCTCTGAGATAGATTCCATCAGGCCCTGTCGACTTATCTACCTTAATGATTTTCAAGCCATCCAACACCACCTCCTCCTCAGTGCACCTCAGAACATCAACATACTTCTCCCTAGTCTCACCATCATCCTTGTCCTTCTCCCTGTTGAATACCGATGCAAAGTACTCATTAAAAAGGACCTCACCCACCTCCTCTGGCTCCATGCATAAATTCCCTCCTCTGCCTTGAGTGGACCTACCCCTTCCCTAGCTACCCTCTTGCTTCTAATATAATATATGCCTTGGAATTTTCCTTAATCCTACTGGCCGAGGGCATTTCATGGCCCCTTTAGCCCTCCTAATTCCTTGTTTAAGTTCTTTCCTGCTTTCTTTATATTCTTTGAGGGCCTTGTCTGATTTTGGTTTCCTAAACCTTACATGGTTAGGTTAGATCACGTGGGATCCAGGGGGAGCTAGCCAATTGGATACAAAATTGGTTTGAAGGTAGGAAACAGAGGTTAGTGGTGGAGAGTTGTTTCTTCGGACTGGAAGCTTGTGACCAGCAGTGTGCCAGAAGGATTGGTGTTGGGTCCATTGCATTTTGCCATTTATTTTAATTACTTAGAGGTGAATATAGTAAGCTTGCAGATGACACCAAAATAGCTGGTGTAGTGAACACTGAAGGAGATTATCTCAGAGTACAACAGGACTTTGATCGGACAGACCAATGGGCTGACGAGTGGAAAATGGAGTTTAATTTGTATAAATGTCAGGTGTTGTGTTTTGATAAGACAGATCAGGGCAGAACTTTTGCAGTTAACGGTAGGGCCCTGGGGAGTGTTGATGAACAAAGAGACCGAGGAATGCAGGTGTTTAGTCCCTTGAAAGTGAACTTGCAGGTGGACAGGGTGAAGGTGGTATTTGGCACACTTGCCTTCATTGGTCAGACCACTGAATATAGGAGTTGGGATATCTTGGTTGAGCTGTACAGGACATTGGTGAAGCCATTTTTAGAATATGGAGTACAATCTGTATTCCGTTCTGAAGGAAAGATGTTGTTAAACTTGAGAGTGCACATAAAAAAAACTAGAAGAATGTTGCCAGGGTTGGAGGGTTTGAGTTTTAAGGAGACGTTGAATAGGCTGGGGCTTTTTCCCCTGGAACATTGGAGGCTGAGGGGTGACCTTATCGAGGTTTATACAATCATGAGGGGCATAGATAGGATGAATACCAAGGTCTTTTTTCCCAGGGCGGGGGGAGTCGAAAACTAGAGGGCACAGGGTTAAGGGGGGGGGGGGGGGGGGTAGATTTAAAAAAGACCCGAGGGGTAACTTTTTCACGCAGAGGGTGGTGTGTGTAAAGAATGAGCTGCCAGAGGAAGTGTGGAGGTGAGTACAAGTACAACATTTAAAAGGCATCTGGATGGATATATGAATAGGAAGGGTTTAGAGGGATATGGGCCAAATGCTGGCCAATGGGAGTAGACCAGATTGGGATATCTAATTGGCGTAGACGAGTTGGACCAAAGGGTCTGTTCCGTACGTGCTGTATTACTCTATAATTATGACTCTACATGCTACCTTCTTTTTATCTAATCTTTAAACACCTCTCATCATCCAGGGTTCCCGAATCTTGCCATCTTTATCTTTCATCCTCACATGAACATGCTGGTCCTGAACTCTGATCAACTGGCCTTTAAAAGACTCACATGTCGGATGTGATTTACTCTCAAATAACTGTCCCCAATATAATTTCTCCAGTTCCTGCATAATACTGTGATAATTAGCCTTTCCCCAACTTACCACTTTCACCAGAGGACAATCTTATCCTTGTTCATAATTACCTTAGAAGTTACTGAATTATGATCAATGTTCCCAAAACACTCCCCCACTGAAACTTTGATCACCTGGCCAGGTTCATTCCCTAATACAAAATCTTGTGCGACCTACTTCCTTAGTTGGACTATCTACATATTGTTTCAAGAAACCCTCCTTGATGGATCGAATAAATTCTGCCACATTTAAGCCCCTGGAAATAAGGGAGTCCCAGTCAATATTGGAGAAAGTTAAAAACACCCACTACAGCAGTGCTGTTTTTACATTTTTCCATGAATTGCTTAAATATCTGTTCCTATATTTCCCATTGGCTAATGGCAGGCCAATAGTGTAACCCCATCATAGTGATTGCTATTTTCTTATTCACGATGATTTGATAGTCCCAATGACTGGCTGACTACACCAAACAACCATTCACAGCAGGCAGTATGTCAGTTCTATTCAAACAGCCATTTACTCAAGCCTCAGAAAACCACATTCGACATTCAACATTTCTGAAGCTTCCTGAGAGGTTTTGTTGCAACTTCCTCCTTCAGGTGAGATGTGCAATTTCTTTTTTGGAATTTTTATTTAATGGGAATGGGAGCATCGCAGGCAAGGCCAGCATTTGTTTCAACCTACCTAAATTGTCCTTTAACTGAACAGTTTACTCAGCCATTTCAGAGAGCAGTTCTACTGAAACTAGTTTTCAATTTCAGATTTTTTTTTTAAATTAATTTTTAATTTAATTGGTGGGATTTGAACCCAGAGCGTTAACCTAGACCTCTGGATTACTAGTCTGGCAACATTCAGGTGAGGTGGTGGTACTGGCATAGAGTGATACCGCAAAGAAACAGGTCAAACTTGTCCATGCCAAACTGAATTCCTCAACTGAACTAGTCCAATTTGCCTACATTTGGCCCATATCCCTCTAAACCATTTGCGTTCATGTATCCAAACAAATGTCTTTTAAATGTCGCAATTGTACCCTTCCTTATCACTTCCTCTGACATTCATTCCATACACGCACCACCCTCTGTTTGAAAAAAAAATCACTGCCCCTCAGATCCTTTTCAAATTTTTTCCCCTCTCACCTTAAACCTTTGCCCTCTAGTTTTTGACTCCCCTGCCCTGGGAAAAAGACCTTGGCTATTCACATTATCCATGCCTCTCATTATTTTAGAAATCTCAATAAAGGTCACCCCTCAGTCTCCAAACCACCAGTGCCCCAGGCTATTCAGTATCTCCTTAGAATTCAAACCCTCCCACCCCGGGAACGTTCTTAAATTTTTTCCTGCACACTTTCCAGTTTTACAACATATTTTCTATAACAGGGCAACCAGAGCTGTTTGCAATATTCTAAAAGTGGTCTAACTAATGTCTTGTACAGGTGGATCATGACGTTCCAGAACCTATACGAAATGCTCTGACCAATGAAGGCACGTATGCCAAATGCCTCCGTCACTACCCTGTCTACCTGCAACACCACATTCTCGGAACTTTGTACCTGCACCCCTAAGTTTCCCCATTTGACAACACTTCCCAGGGCCCTACCATTAAGTGTATTAGTCTGGCCCTGGGTTTGTCTTACTGAAATGCAACACCTCACATTTATCTAAATTAAACTCCATCCGCCACTCCTCAGCCCATTGGCCCAGTTGATTAAGGACCTATTGTAATCTTAGATAACCTTCTTCACTGTTCACTGTACCACCAATTTTGGAGTCATCTGCAAATGTATTAACCATACCTCCTATATTGTCATCCAAATCATTTATATACACAACAAACAACAGTGGACAATGTCAATGGATTGATAATTCAAGGGTACAAGCTCGAAGTCTGTTGACTGGGTTCAAATCTTACCATGGTATTTGAGAAATTTTAATTCAATAAAAATCAGAGAAAGAAAGCTAGCCTTATAGAAACCATGTAACCACTGTCAATTTTCATTAAATCTCATCCTGTTCAGTCATTTTCTTTAGGGTAGGAAATATGTGCTCCTTACCTAGTGTGGTCCACATGTGACTCCAGTCCCACAAAGTGGTTGACTTTTTCTCTAGAATTTAGAAGGTTAGGGGGTCATCTTATCAAAGTCTTCAAGATATTAACCGGAAAAGACAGGATAGATTAGGACAAGCTACTTCCACTGATTGAGGATTCTAGAATTAGAGGGCGTAGTCTAAGAATTAGGGCCAGACCATTCAGGAAGGATGTTAGGAAGCACTTCTACACAAAAAACGTGGAAACTCTCTTCCATAAACAGCAGTAGATGGTTGATCAGTCATTAATTTTAAATCTGAGACAGATAATTTTTTTGTTAAACAAAAGTATTAAGGATATGGGCCGAAGATCAGCCATGATCATTTAAAGGCAGAACAAGATCAAGGGGTTGAATGATCTACTCCAGTTCTATGTAATATTACCACCATGCTGGGTCAAAATCCTGGAATTCCCTTGCTAACAGAATTGGGGTCTACCGACAGCAGTTCAAGAAGGTAGCTCACTACCACTTTTTCAAGGACATCTAGGGGCGGGCAATAAATTCTGGCCGCTGCAATGACATCCTTATTCTATGAGAGAATTTTTAAAAAATGCCACCATCTCCCATTAAGGAACAAATCTTTACGGTTTGCCTCGGGAAAATATTCATGGAAATAAAATCTGCTAAACGTTTATTTGGTTTGTCCTGGAAATATGTGACAGGAGGTGCAAAGTACATAAAATATTAATCCAAGGCTTTTCCGAAGAAGTCAAACATGCTAAAAATGAGAAATGAAGTTGAAGCTTGCCATCTTGAACACGTCAGGACCAGGACAAAAGTCTTATAAAAGGCTCAGCAATTTGTACAGCTTGAGAAGAGGGTGCTGGTTTGTTGAGCCATTGTTTCCATGAAGATATGGAAGTAGCAGATAACTGGCAATCTTTCTTCCCACAACAGGCAAGTACACTCTGGTCAGTGTATTGCAGAATATTAGACAATAATTAATTTACAATCATATAACAGCGTATCAGCACAACCCACCCAAGAATTGGCTTTTGAAACTTTCTCATCACTAACCTCTGTTTTTCAGTTGACATTTTACTTGTGCGTGGCTTTTAACTATCTGTTCCGAACTGGTGACATCCAGTTGCAGCACCATAAGTCTGTTTGAGCCACTCGTCTTTAAATCCTCAGCACCAGGTCCATCTAAGTACAGAACTCCAGCAAAGACAGTGAAGCCCAATTTATCGAGATGTTTGGCTAGTGCGTGTCCAAATCCTGAGTCGCATCCTGTTTAGTGATAGAAGAAAAAGATAACAATTTCTACAGGAAGCATATTCTATACAGTGTAGACCTCGTCCTGTCAGAAATATCCCAATAGAGAAAGAAACATGAACTAATTAAATGAGAAAAATATTAAGAAACATTCCCCTAATATTTTTAAACAAAAGGAAATCTTGCTTTCATACAGTACTTTACATGACCATCAGACACTTCAAAGTGTTTCACAGCTAATTAAGCGCTTCTTAAATCCAGCCACTGTTATGACGTAGAAATCACAGCAGTTAATATTTGCACAGCAAACTCCCACAAAAGTTATGTCACAATGACAATGTGTCTTTTGTGCTGTTGAATAAGGGATAAGTATTGGCTCAGTGGTGACAGCCTTTTATCTTGTCAGGCAATGGTCATGTTGTGTTAAGCATTACCTAGTTGGGTTCAGGACTCCCACTCAGTTTTAGAAGTCTGTGCTGTAGGTGTTATAGTTGTGGAGGTGCCGGTGTTGGACTGGGGTGGACAAGGCCAAAAATCACATGACGCCAGGTTATGGTCCAACAGGTTTATTTGAAGACAAGTTTTCAGAGTCTTGCTCCTTCAGGTGACAATGGGAGAGGTGGCATCAGACACAGAATTTATAAGCAAAAGATCATAGAACTGATGCAAATGTGTTGAACAAATCTAAGATGATTGTAAAATCTTTAATCAGTTAGAAAGGATTAATATGCAAATTCCGGAATTTCTCTCAAGTCACTGCCCCAAGATACCTAAAGGTTTTATCAGTTCCCTCAGTATTTCAGAGGTGACATCCCAGGTCAGACAATGCATTTTGGGTGTGAGGCCTTGTTTAGAATCTGGCAGTGTATTAACTTGGAGTCAGACTGGTTTTATTTCCAAAAATTCAAAAAGCACTCAATTTGTAGACAGTCAATGTGGCATTTATATACTCCTGCTTTGGAAATAAAACCAGTCTGACCAGTTCTATGGCTCTTTGGTCATTTGCTTATAAATTCTGTGTCTGATGCCACCTCTCTCACCGACACCTGAAGAAGGAGCAAGACTCTGAAAACTCGTGTCTTCAAATAAACCTATTGGACTATAACCCAGCATTGTGTGATTTTTGACCTTACGAATGTGTTATAGAGGCAGACAGTGGGTTGACAAGGTGGGGATTTGCTGACTTCTGCTTTCTCCAGGCTCTCTTTAGTCGGCTGAGCCTTTCATTCCTGCTTTCCTCTTCCAATGTCCTTCTAAACAAAAAGTCTCCAAAGAGGTGATGACCAACAGTGACTGCCTCCCAGCTGTTGGTATCAATTTCCGTCATTTAGTGACTTGCTGCAGGTGTTCTTGTAACAAAGGTATTAACGCTTACTAGATTGTGATCCAGTGATCAGTTTATCATATATGATGTCATCCATCCGATGAATATGGCTGCACCAGTGCAGATATAATTGGATTAGCAACAAACGTCAGCTGATAAGGACCTCTGAGTTGCTGACCTTCTTCTGTCAAGAGATGCCAAAGGATAAATCTGACATCATAAAAGTTGAGATCATTCAGCTTTTCTCCTGACTACCATTTGTTGTCCAGCTTAGTACTTTCAAGAAGTGCATTGAGAAGTGTTCTGAGGAACAGTCACTTGACCCAAAAGTTTAATTTGTATTTCAGAGGATGAGGTATTCAGCCTTCCAACAGACACAACAAGGAGTGAGGTTGCTAATAAAGAAATGCGGTCGATGGACCGTAATTGTGGACACAGAGATGGTTTGAGGTGTGCATACTTCATTGCTAGAAGTATCAGAAATAAGGCGGATGAACTTAGAGCGTGGGTCAGTACTTGGAACTACGATGTTGTGGCCATTACAGAAACTTGGGTAACTCAGGGACAGGAATGGTTGTTGGAAGTTCCGGGATTTAGATGCTTTAAAAGAAATAGGGAAGGTGAAAAAAGAGGCAGGGGAGTGGCATTGCTAGTCAGGGCTAGTATAGCAGCTACTGAAAGGCTGTTCGAAAATGATATGTCTACAGAGTCAGTTTGAATTAAGGTCCAGAACAAGAAAGGAGCAGTCACTTTGTTGGGGTTTTTTTTACAGACCCCCTAATAGTTGCAGAGAAGTGGAGGAGTGGATTGGGAGGCAGATACTGGAAAGGTGCAGAAGTCACAGGGTTGTAGTCATGGGTGACTTCAACTTTCCAAATATTGATTGGAAACATTTTTGTTGTAATAGTTTAGATGGAACGGATTTTGTCCAGTGCATTCAGGAAGGATTCCTGACACAGTATGTAGATAGACAAACACGAGGAGAGGCCACTTTGGATTTGGTGTTTGGCAATGAACTGGGCCAAGTGTTAGACCTGTTGGTAGGAGAGCATTTTGGCGGTAGCGATCATAACTCTGTTACTTTTACAATAGTCATGGAAAAGGATAGGTATATACAGCAGGGTAAAGTTTATAATTGGGGGAAGGGTAATTAAAATTCTGTTAGGCAAGAACTGGGTAACATGAAATGGGAACAGATGCTGTCAGGGAAGAGCACTATTGAAATGTGGAGATTGTTTAAGGAAAGCATACTGCATGTGCTCAATACGTTTGTCCCTAGCAGGCAAGGAAGATGCGGTTGAGTGTGGGAGTCTTGGTTCTCAAGAGAGGTCGAATGACTGGTTAAGAGGAAGAAGGATGCTTATGTAAGGTTTAGGAAACAAGGAATGGAAAAGGCTCCAGAGGGATACAAGTTATCCAGGAAGGAGCTGAAGAAAGGGCTTAGGAGAGCTATAAGGGGGCATGAGAAAACCTTGGCAGATAGGATCAAGGAAAACTCCAAGGCTTTTTACACGTACGTGAGGAATAAGAGAATGACCAGAGAAAGGGTAGGGCCGATCAAGGATTGTAAAGGGAATTTGTGCACGGAGCCTAAAGAGATAGGAGATGTCCTTAATGAATACTTTTCTTCGGTATTCACAACTGAGAGGGACCTAGTTGTTGTAGAGGAGGACAGTGTGAAACAGGCTGGTAGGCTAGAGGAGGTTGATGTTAGTAAGGAAGATGTGCTAGGAATTTTGAGGAAGTTGAAGATAGATAAGTCCCCCAGGCCTGATGGGATTTATCCAAGGATTCTATGGGAAGCGAGGGAAGAGATCGCAGGGCCTTTGGCGACAATCTTTTCATCCTCACTGTCCACAGGTATAGTGCCGGAAGATTGGAGAGAGGCAAAGGTCATTCCCTTGTTTAAAAAAGGGAATAAGGATAACCCCGGAAATTAGTCTTACGTCAGTGGTGGGCAAATTATTGGAAAGGGCTCTGAGAGATAGGATTTATGATCACTTGGAAAGGCACAGTTTGATTTGTGACAGTCAGCATGGATTTGTGAGGGGTAGATCATGCCTCACAAACCTTATTGAATTCTTTGAAGAGGTGACCAAACATGTGGATGAAGGTAGAGCAGTGGATGTGGTATACATGGATTTAAGTAAGGTATTTGATAAGGTTCCCCATGGTAGGCTCATGCAGAAGGTAAGGAGGCAGATTGGATTCAGAATTGGCTGACCCTTAGAAGACAAAGGGTGGTAGTGGGTGGAAAATACTCAACATGGTGCTCAGTTATGAGTCGTGTACCACAAGGATCTGTCCTGGGTCCTCTTCTATTTGTGATTTTTGTAAATGATTTGGATGAAGGAGTGGAACTTACTAGTAAGTTCGCAGACAATACGAAGGTGGGTCGCATTGTGGACAGTGTGGAGGGTTGTTCTAGGTTACAAAGGGACATTGATAGGATGCAGAGCTGGGCTGAGAAGTGGCAGATGGAGTTTAACCCTGAAAAGTGTGAGGTGATTCATTTTGGAAGGACAACCTTGAAAGCAGAATACAGGGTTAACGGAAAGATTCTTGGCAGTGTGGAGGAGCAGAGGGATCTTGGGGTGCATGTTCACAGTTCCCTGAAAGCTGCCACCCAGGTGGATAGAGTTGTTAAGAAGACGTATGGTGTGTTAGCTCTCATTAATAGAGGGATTGAGTTTAAGAGCTGTGAAGTTATGTTCCAGCTATACAAAACCCTGGTTCGGCCACATCTGCAGTATTGTGTCCAGTTCTGGTCGCCTCATTACAGGAAAGATGTGGAAGCGTTGGAAAAGGTGCAGAGGAGATTTACCAGGATGTTGCCTGGAATGGAGGGAAGGTCTTATGAGGAAAGTTTGAGAGAGCTAGGGCTTTTCTCTTTAGAATGACGAAGGATGAGAGGTGACTTGATAGAGGTGTACAAAATTATCAGAGGTATAGATAGAGTGGACAGCCAGAGACTTTTTCCTAGGGTGGAGGTAGCTATTACGAGGGGGCATAGTTTTAAAGTGAGTAGAGGTAGATATAGGGCAGACGTCAGAGGTAGGTTCTTAGAGAGTGGTCGGGGCATGGAATGCATTGCTGGAGAGGGTAGTGGAGTCTGCCTCATTTGGGGCATTTAAGCGGCTATTAGATAGGCATATGGATGATAGTATAAGGTAGGGGTGGAGGTTAGATAGACCTTCAGATTAGGGTAAAAGTTCGGCACAACATCGTGGGCCAAAGGGCCTGTACTGTGCTGTATGTTCTATGAACTCTGATTTCTCTCTACAGATGCTGCTGGAACTGAGCTTTTCCAGAAATTTCTGTTTTTGTTTGAGAACACAGACTCGGTAGGTTCACAATCTGTCGTTCTCAGTTACATTGCTGTTGTTTCACAACTCATACTTCGGCTTGGATATAATGACTTGAGCTTTTGTGATCCATACCTTCATTTCAGCATGAAAAGACAGATTGCTGGCAATGTGGATATGTGAAGCATCGCATTGTCAATGCCAGGGCGCTCAGTATAACTCCAATGTTCTTCAAAACAGTGCCATGGCCTCCAAGGTATGGTTAAATATAACATTTACTTTATTTACATGATTTACTTTGCTTGTGCTAAACAAAACTAATAGGCTTTGTTATAAAGATAAATACAAAACCTCTGCCCCTCAACCCTTAATCCCTCATCTCAACAATTGACTTTAACACCCAGGGATAGCTGTTGATAGCTAATAACTACGTTTGGGGACATGCTTGGGACTGCAGTGTTGCCATACATTGATTGTAAGTCCTGGTGAAGGATGATTGCTCCACCTTGCCCCACAGAGATACCTTAAAATTGACCTTTTAGTTCCTCTGTTCTTCCTCTATAAGTTTTATTATCAGTGCATCTGCTCAGATGTTGTTAAAATGCTACCAGCATCACCCAACCAGATAATAATTTAATCAATCTGACGGATCAGTCTGACAAAGGCCCCCACCTTAATCAGATGACTGTCTCATAAAAATAAAAGTTATAGCACCCAAAAGTGGTGGCTGGGCATCGAGATTTCTCCGGTGGTTTTAACTGTGCAATCACCTTGATAAAATTGGATTATTATCACCACCACAGCAAGTTTTGGAACAATTGTATTGAAATTCACTAACAATAGGGCAATTAGTTTATGATCTATCAGAAACATTATAACTTTCCTAAAAAGATTACTTCAATTTTCGTGTGCGATTTATACCAGGGATACACATCATAAAATATAAAAAGGAGAATTATTAGTCAACTTGCCTCAATATTTGCCCAAATAAGAGTCACACTACCGTTATAAAATGGGTGATATTGAATTACCCATTATATATCCCACCAGGTTAACTTTCCATTTACTTCAAAACTAAATTGTCTCACTACAAAGATGGCACTGTTTCTTTCTCAGGCTCATTTTTAACTGATGAAATTTGTCCTTCCAGTGCAAATTTAAAATTTGATTATCTGATCATTTTTAGAATACACTGATTAAAGGCCTGTGATAACAGATGTGCAACTTTAAGGTCTTAGATGTATTACAGGTCAGGTATCCATTAACTGAACATCAAAAAAACCAAACCAGACCTAAAAACCAAAGATCTTTTCAGAAGCAGACCAATTGAACCTGAAAAAAAACCCTGTGGATATGCTGAGTTCAGCTCCTTTGGGACAAAAAACCTTGCATTTAGGTCGGTTTGGGACAAATGAAGCTTGCTTTTTTGCAAAGGCTTGAATGCAGTTTGTCTACAAGTCTGTTTGGGTTAAGCAATTTTTTTTTCTAAAAGGGGCCTGAATGGTGAATACAATAGTAAAGCCTGGAAAGGGGTAAAATGGGGAATAAAATGGTTGTGACCTGGTTTACATATTGCCACAAAGATTGACAGACAGGCTCAGCTGTAGTTGCAAAACAAAAACATGGTGAACAATCAGAAACCATTGCAGTGTCTCAGTGGTGCAGGTGCCCAACCTGACTGAACTCCAGAGAAAAAGTATGGATTAAAGGCTGGTCTGCCATAGGAAGGATATTATTAAATTGGAGAGGGCTCAGAAAAGATTTACCACAATGTTGCCAGGAATGGAGGATT